CGCCGCAAGAATTAAATTATGAATTTACGTCACAGACATGCTTTGTCGCTCACGCGTCCAGCCGTCTCTTCTCGGGGAGGAACGTAGACCTGACTCGAGTAAGCGGCGGAAATCGAGCCTAACATCTATAGATTTAATTGCAAAACTTTAAACCAATCCCTGAAACATCCATAAGTATACCTACCATCGAGAACTGAAATGAGTTTTAGAATTCTTACCTGAATACTAGAGGCTGAAACCTAAAAGAAAAAAAAAAATCTTTAGTTTGAATCAACCTTAAATCCTAAAAATCTGCAACTCACTGTGGCTCAATTAATCATGCTGAAGGTTACAAAAATGTTAGCACGAACACTAACTGACTTTTTCTAGAATTTAATTTTCGTCCCATTTTTCTGGCCGAGATCTAGACTCGTGATAGCTAACCACCTATTCTAAAATCGTTCCTAGTGTAAGCTTCGTCGTTAGGGTATTGAATTATATTTTGAACCCCAAAACGTCGCTCTTCAAATTGTAAAAATAATACGTCTCTTGCCAGGGAAATAGTCATTTTGAAGAAATAAAAAGATGTGATCATACAGATGTATTGGAATAAGCATGTGCGTCTGAACACCAACCTTCTCCTTCTGGAGTAATCTCCTCCAGAAATGAACGAACTTTCCTTCTTCGTCGTACCCGTCTAAGGCATTTTCATAGGCGGTCAAGCAACCATCCAACTGGCTTTCCCCTCCACTCAAGTTTAAAGTTGACATGGTATCCATGTATATTTGCAACACTTTATCCACCTCATGACTGAAACGTTTCATGTCCTCGCGAAGTGCTTCGTCAGTTTCTTGATGCTTCTTTACCAAGTACTGAGCAGCGCGAAGATCGTCAAACCGGTTTTCTACTTCCTCTAGTGCGTTTGCCAAAGCCCTGTTTGGTAAGTAAGCTTTCACTGATGGTATCACTGTCTCAGTTGGTTGAAGTTCAACCTAGTTAAAGAGGAAAAATACAAGTAACCATTCAATGGAAGTGAGTAATTATGGACAAGAGAAGATCAAGGTAAGAGAGGCAATCCCCCATATAGGCCTTATCCCAATCGTAACCCCTTTTTAATTTTCTTTTCTTTTAATAAGGCAAATAAATGATGCTGAGGATGATGATGATAATGATGATGATGATGATGGTAATGATGATGAGGCTGTGATGTTTATGCTCGTCTGTTCAATAGTGGCTTTCAATTTTCGTCAGCTAAATATAATGTGACCATTTTGCATTAAAAAATTCTTTTTCACCCTTTTCCAAACGAATCTCTGGACTACATACTTGATTAGAAAGTTAAAAGAATGTCGATTTCAGTGACTGAGGGGATTTTGTACTCATGTACAATTTTCACACAGTTAGGCTCCAAGACAAATCCTGCCGACTGAAATTCTTTTTCAATCTACGTTGTCCTAAAACTTTCATTCCTCCACAAAACGTATCCACGCACCGCTTTCCAAAAGTTCCGCTATTTGCTTTTATAATCAATCGCGTAGCATTGCGTGGGAATCGGCTCAGCTGTCCACCCGGATAAAATTCATGGCATGTGATTTCACTTAACCGTCTCTCGGGAGATCTAAAAATAACTTAATGGGATTACGTTGGGGATTAAGCCTATATGGGGAATTGCCTCTCTTACTTTGATCCTCTCTTGTTATGGACCGTTTTCCTTTGTGGACTACTGCAACATGCTTTGGTATCTCAGAAAATGTGTTGTCTTTACATACACACATTTGATTATTATTAAAATTTAAACGGCGATAGGCAAGAGGATTTGGGCCGGGCTCTTTCCTAATTAAATTATGTTAAACAACTTTAACTCATTTAGAAATACTCAGTTTATTCCTTTCAACCGGGTAAGAAAATTTGCCTTGACTGACTTGAGTCTCATTGTTGGATGGCAGCAATTAATACTAAATATCAATGTTTATGTTGAGTTAATTCATCAACACATTGAACGTAACTTTCCAGTGGGATGTAACAATACCTCAATGGGAATTTCTTTTCGACTATTGATTGTCTGTGAACTGAAGCTTTCATACAATTTCATCAGGTCCGGAAGACTGCTCGGCGTTGAACGTTGGTGAGGCACTTCTGTTGTGTGATAAGAAATGGATATATTGGATGCACCTTGGCAATTAGTTGATATAATTTTCAACTGTCTGGCTAATTCTTCAGCAACGACTTGAGAAGTCAATTCTCCCTGCACGTTTCCACTTGTCCGTGGCCTAGAAGGAGTCGAATGGAGAGGCAATGATCAATGACTAGTCATTTTATCTCAGCGTGTTATGCCATGATGTGTAGCCCGTGTTTATTAAGTTGGAAATAACATCTTTTATTATATAGACACGCGTGTTTTACTGGAAAATACACCTCTCGTAAAATTCATCCGAAACCACATCTGGGACTCGAGTGGCGTCTTTTCCATATTCTCACTAGTGCGTGAAGATATCGATAATTTTACTGATATAAGTTTGTCTCTTAAATTGCTCTTAAATTCGTTGGTGTATCATCGAAACATCTTCGGGTCTTCCTCGAAAGTCTTTGGCAATCTTCGGTAATCTTCGGAAATCTTCGGTAATCTTAGGATATTTTCGGGAAATATTCAGCAACGTTCGTGTGACCTTCGGAAAAGTTTTGGAGAATCTTCGGAAATCTTCGGAAAGTTTTTGCCACTCGAACATGAAATTCATATCTCCTCGCCACCGTGTAATATCCTCTATGTATATTGGTTGGTAAATGAAAACTTATACATGCAGAACTCTAAGCTGGGCTACAAAGTTGGTGGTATAATGAAGATTCATCGTCTTAGAAAAGCATGGGAAAAGAACGTGGGTCTGTAAAAATAAATTCGGATTAATCTCTGCTCGTTCTAGCTGATGAAAGTATACTTTAATCTACGTTAAGCTATGCATTATTAAGGCAGCTAAACTTATTAACAATGATGTTCAGAGTTTGCGATTTGATTTCCCCAGTAGTTCAGTGATTTCTCTTATACGCAAAGATTTCGTTACCATGCAAAACCAGAATTTTGCGTCATCGATGTTTGAAACAAAAGTAAGCAGTGTAAACTGATGAAAATCTTAGTAAACAATCATTGATCAAGGGAGTTTAAGCAGATGATTGTGGATATGTGAAAATCACATATTTGAACTGCGGACTAAGTAATGAAGATGTGAGTGATCATCGCAGTTTTAAACACTACTTAAGCAGCAGTGAAAAGAAAGCCTGAAAAAAAAAATTCAGGCTTGTGCGCACAAGCCTGAATTTTTTTTTCTGGCTTATATTAATTTCGGTACATTTCATCCACAACAACGTGAAATGACCAAATTTAGCGTTTCGTAGAGAACGTGAGCACATGACGGCAAGTTTTTCATTCTCTCCCTAAACGTGAACACTGTTAGTACCAATTCTTTTCCAGGATAGTTTGGCCATATTGTACAAGTTGAACGAATTGGAGTAACCACAAAGTACTACAAGTAACGCGGACATATATTTTCAAGCGACGTTTTCGTTGGCGTTGCCGTCCTGGTTGCTTAAAGTCCGATGCTGTGAGGAAAACAAAAAACATGTGCATCCAGGGCGGCGGTAAATTCCTCGTGAATAAATTTAATTGAGTCACTAATGGATGATTGCTCTCAAGGTATGACTGCAAGATTGCTTTTTGTTCTAAGCGTCTGGAAAAAGGACAATAACTTGATTAAAAATAGAAAAACATCGCAGAGTGACAGGTTCCAAGTCTACTGACATGATATGAGCCTACGAGATTCTGAGAAACTTGAATTGTTTCTTGTAACGTAAACCGACATTAATTTTTTTACTACTCTGTACGAAACTCTAATAACAGTTGTACAAAATACAGCTGATGCGTTAATACAGCTGTTAATCCTCCAAGCGGTCTTGCCAAGGTTAACTGATGTAGTCGGGGACAGAGTTCTAAAAAGTGAAAGCTTTTAAAATACATGGGAATAGCAACATTTGTCAGTGACAGAAGCAGGATTCAAGAACATAGTTCAGCAGCAGAGCCTACCTTACTAAAGATGGTGGAAAATCGAGCTTGATACTAGCTATCATCTCACCGCCGTACGAAACTCGTCTGACATAATGTGTGCCAAGTCCATCAACCACATTGTCTCTTTTCAAGATCTCATTAGGCCTTGCTGAGTCCTCTATTTTCTTGGACACCTGACGAAATTAAATCATTTAAATAGCTTTCACTCGTATTGACAGGTTCAGAAAAAAATTGAAAGAATTATGCATGTTTAGCTTAAACCCCAGTCTGATTTTACACATTTATAGTTACTTCAAACGCTTATTGATATTTTAGAAAATTCTGAAAATTGCTGTGGTAGTGGTAGTTTGCATGTGTCATTCACTGATTAATACATCATTCTCAATCTAAAGGGTACTTGGACAAAGTGAGGGCTTAAAATATCGTAACACTTGTGAACTAATTCCTGTTGTTTATTTATTAAAAATACGGGAAAAGCCTCAGCTAGTACTGATTTTCGTGAAGTCAGCTAAAGCTAGTAAAATAGGACAAAGGATTCCATTCCTTGGAACTCCCTGCTTAATTCCGAGCACTTTAAACAAATTATCTTACACAAATGCGCCATTTGAAGGCCACCAAACGATCTTGGAAAACAACAGACAACATTTTAATCATTTTGCTTCTATGTTCTTGTTAGGTGCCCCTGTATAAAATTATCATTGTCAGCTAATATAGCGCATTTTAACATGACTGAATGATCATGCGCTTTACAGTAAAGATATCGTAATTCCATAATTCATGATCATGTAATAGATAATAATAGTAACAACGGCAAATTAAAATCTGACTGTGGTGACATATTTCTTACAGTCGATACATTAATAATAGCATACTTTGTTAATTAGTACGCTGGACAAAACTGTTCTGGATCGACGTTTTACGACAAGATATTAAAACACACAAACCGTTGCAAATAATTTTTTGATAGTCTTAAACCTTATTAAATTCCACACATGGAAAGTTATTTTCATATAGATCACGCAAGGAAAACTTGCCATTTGCGTTACAGCTTATCTAAATTTGCGGACTGAATCACAAAAGTACGGAAAATTGCGCCATTTCTGAGAAGAAAACAGTTATGGTTTACACAACATCGTAGTGTTAGACCAGTGTTGTTGTGCGAAGAAAATCGTTACGTGTTTGTGGATTTTTTTCATGAATTCAAAGAGATGGCACGAGGAAGGAGCAATAGTCCATCTAAACAGCACTATAATCCTGTGATACATCAGCGGTTTAGAGAATCAAAGATTCAAGTTGTGATGCTACCACTGAAGGGCTACAAGGCAAATCAAACAAAGTTATTCCCAGCTGTTATGCAAGAAAATACGAGAAAATACGAGAAAATGGCAAGCTCCTGGTAGATGAGCCCAGATACAGGTCCGGGAACGTTTCTAAAAGCACAAAAAGCAGTGTCTGAGGTTCTTGGCCGACAACGCTTTACTAAACAGCAGTATTTTGTGCACTTTTAGCTTGTGCGAAGCTCAAGCTAGAGGCAGCCATCTTCAAAACAGGTGAAAGACCGATCTTGTGGCAAGAACAGTTTAAAGACTTAAAGAATATCGCTTTCTGACCACTGTATCGCATTTCCATCAAATAAGTTGTACGTCTTTCTCATGCTGTCTTGTGAAAATCTTGACAAAATATTCACCAGCACGTAAAGAGTTTCCACGCAAAACAACACTCCAAATGTGACTCTCTTTTTCTCAGAAATCACGTGATTTTGCATAATTTTGTGACTCAGTTACCAAATTTGGACAAGGTGTAACGCAAGCCTTGCTTGCGTGATCCTCATAAAAATAAGTTTCCATGTGTGGAATTTAGTAAAGTTTATGACAATCACAAAATTATATGCGCCACTTTGTTTGTTTTAATTTTTTTGTTGTAAAACGTCGATCCAGAACAGTTTTGTCCAGCGTACTAAAGTAGATACATTCTTCAAAAATAAAAACAGGATTATACATTAATAAGAAACAGAAAATAGAAAATGAAAATCTAAAATCAGATAAAAACTAGTAGTAATCAGAGATTATGAAAGTGCGTTCGACTTTCTCACTTTAATATATATACCGTAAATAAATGATTTCACTAGCTGACTTTCAACCTTTGTCTATTGCTGAAATCAACATTTTTCAGCAGCAACCGAGGTTTTTACAGTCAGATATGCATAGTGTCAAAGTCCGTGCTAGTGAAGAGGTCACGATTCGTTGATACGTTGCGTGACGCTGCCAGTTTCTGTAGACTCTCAAGCTAACATTTGCAATCGCGTGGTCGTTTCGCGTGGTCGTTTATCGTAAACAAACTCCGTGCGACTAATTCGAGTATTTCCCCTGATGAATAAAGTAGTCTTATTGATCTTGCCTTCAGAGTACTTTTCCACCGATTCCAAACAATAAAATTTCGACCGGATAAAGACTGAGCTATCTGTCGCAACTGGAACTAATCAACAAATACAATCAAAATGTAGCTGTTCCCACAGTTATCATCCCAAAGCCAAGTCGTGTTAATAAACAAGGACAACTCCCTCAGATTTCGATGAATGCTACCGTCGAAGTCTTCAAATTCGCCAAAATCTAACGCTGTGAGCACACAATAGCGAAGCGTACGGCGACTGAATGGAAAGAAGTCAAAGAAAGATCTATCGGAAAGACGAGCTCACGTGGCCTGCTCACATACTCACATGTTCGCCACATGTCTTATTAAACGATATCAGTTTACCGGCCGTGACATACCCCTACAAAAATCAAGCGGGGTGGCCATTTTGGTGTCCTTACAGGAATGTGGGTTTTTCGGCCCATAAACGTGCACAGGGGGACCAACTCTGAAAAGCCACAGGTGAAAATTAGGTTTGCGTTCCACTTCGTCGAACGCAATTACAATTTATACATGCGTTTAAAATGAATACTATGGCTTACAGTGCTGGTAAAAGATCTTAATTATCCAAAAAAATGAGACTCTAATTATGCTTCTGAATAAAATTACCTCACAAGTAAAAAAAGTATAAACGTATCTGACAAAAATCAATATTAGGTGTAATCAGGCTAACTATGAATAAAATATTCCACTAGAAATTAATAACTTTTACCGTGGTGCATTTCATAACAGCCAGTATTTCAGTTTTTCCTTCGTCAGTTTCGATGTTGTTAAAGTACTTTCCAGGTCCTTCTACAGACAGATGGCTCGCCTTGATCCGTAAAGGCAGATCAAACGGTAAACCCAACAACTCTCTGACATCGTCATTTTTGGTAACGACGTTGTATCGGAAGGAAAACATGTTGACATTTTCAGTCTTGGTTGGAATGTCGGATGGGAAAAGGTCGATGCCATTTCTTGACGTGTTGCAATCAAATGTGCTACCAATGCTCAGAGCAGGTACGGCGTAGGCAGGAATATTCATCTTTCGCCCTAGAAATGAAATCAGACGCTTATTTAGTTCTCAAATACTTCATACGTGGACGATTATTTCAAAGGAGCAAAGAGAATGCAAAGAAAATCATCAAAAGAATGTGGACAAGAAAGCTGCAGACAAAATTCAAAGTGTAAAAGTGAATGAAGAGTGAATGAAGAGTGAATGAAACTGTTGGAAGTAAAGATGTCAGTAGAATCCGACCACTTTCTAGTGCTCACGCTGATCAACAAATTGATATATATTTTAAATTTGAATTCTAATATGCAGCAGGAAAAGAATGTAACAATTTACCTAAAGAATTACGGGCTAAGAGCTTAATTTTAAAAACATTTAAGAAAAAGACATTTCAATATTTTTCAGAGCAAAGCAGAATACATCATAAATGTAGCGTATAGTTTTTTTATAGCTGTTGTTGTTGTAACCTAGTCTTACCTTTTTAGTTTTAAATACTTTTTATTGTAAACACTACTTAAAACTATTTTATCTACTGTACATAGGTTTATACCAGCTGTCCTTACATTTTAAGTTAGCTGATCTATTTTGCAGTATAAATGAAGTATTTAATTTAAAATAATAATAATAAAGACAATGACAATGACAATGTAGCTATGTTGTAGCTATGTATATGGAAGTTTTGTAACTTAAAGTAATTCTGAAGATAACTTGAATAGTATAGAGCATGGGTCTGCCAGGACACTTCGTGTCCTCACATCTTCCCCATCTCCATACTACACCGCTGTATGACTTCAATAATGGTGTCAGCACATGACAACATTAAACACAGAATTTTAGCTTCTCGGCAGCGCAGGATAAAAAAAGTTCGAAGTTTTCTTTTTTTCGAGCAGGGGAGGAGGAACGTTTAAAAATTCAAAGCGCGAAGGCGGGAAGAACGAACTTTGCGAGCGATGGAGCACTTTTCTATGGTTACCATGGTTAATAATGATCCTTTTTGATAATAAAAGTACATGATAATCAGTAACAGACGTAAACTATATGTTTCTAAAAAATAGAGGTACGAGACAATTGCCTGACATTTCTTGGAAAGACCGGATGAGATTCTCAGAAAGACAGAGACTTTCCCTAACTTCTCAAATCACGAGACAGTCATATGATCTTTTGTCCTCAAATCACGAGGAGGTCGTATGACTTTTTTAACCAATCAAAAGATCACTTTGCAACTTCATAATCTGTGAAATTTTTCACTGAAACTTAGTTGAATGTGCGTACTTCATTTGCGTACTTCATTTACGTAGTTCAAAATGCCTACTTCTTTACGCCAGTTAGCCCCGGTCCAAACGCCGCTCCACTCATGTGCCGAACCAAACTTGATTAAGTTCGACTTCAGAGCGACTTTGGGGCGACGGCTGGTTCAGACGGCGTACTTGCGTCGAACTTAATTCGGGAAGCCGGTGGTAACAATTTTCGACGAGAAAATATGCGTTCTGAATTCAAGAACTCTGTCCAAATAGAAAAGTTGTGACTAACATTTCGCTGTTATAGCAATTATTACTTAGGGAAGCAAATTCAAACTCAAGGTTCAGTGTTTGCATTTAGACAGGTTTTCCCCCGGTTAATTCGACTTGTTAAAGGGAAACCTCATAAGCTGGGCTATTATCACGAAGAAAAAGCAAAAAATGAATTTGCACTAAAGAAACTCGCTTACACAGTCCCGTTTCTCATGAATCAAAGGCATGTTTTGTTGTCTTTATTTTTAGCGATGACTTCGAGCTTCATGCATGACTGGTCACGCCACTCAATTTTGAGCCAATCACGAGTCCCGTTATATGAAAAATACATAACAGCACTTTGTGCATTAGGTTCGACACACGAGGAGAACGCCGTATGAATCAGTTGCCGCTCCAACGTCGCGTAGTGCGATAGACCCTGCCAAGTTTAAAGTTGTTTGCCGCACCAAATTGATTCAAACGCCGCTCTTCTGCCGTACTTAACTCATCAGTTAGGTTCGGCGCATGAATGGTTCGGCGTTTGGAACGGGCCTTAGATGACAGGTATGTTGGTTTGTGTAACAACACAAAAGACTGCAAAGAGTATACTATGAAGCATCTATATACAAAAATGGAGATGAGAGTTTTATCAATCTGCGGACTTAGAAAAAGCAGAAGAGGGGCTCCACATGGCTGAAGAAATGATTCAGCAATTCCGAGTAGCTATGAGGAACGAAAGTTCTCGCAGAGTATTGGCTGTTAAAATAGCAAGAATTACTGAAAGACAAAATGACCGAAAAATGAAGAAACACCAGTTCAAAAAGCAACGAAGATTGACACTTCTTCAAAATGCTACACCGGGTGCTGAACAGTCTAAGAAGAAAACGCCATCACCTCAGTCTTCCTCCCTTGAAGAGTGAAATGTTGACTTTGAACTTAACAATGCCCGTAGGCATATGATTTTATTCCGTCTATTAATATGAACCTTTTGTCATCGAAGCAAGACAATGACATTTCGTTAAGCTCGTAGCTTCCGAGTTGATGCTGATTGCTTCTAATGGTTTTTATTTTGTGATATATTTGATCGTTTTTGAACAATGTGTTTTTGTAGTCTTCGTGTGTGATGTGTTTTTTGATTACAATCTTTTTGATACCTTTAGCTGCTTTACTGTTTTCATCATTGTCTTTCACGTATGAATACATTTTGCTTCTCAGACCAATTAATTCTTTTATGATTTCACCAGCTGCTTCGTCTTTGAATTTACCAATAACTTTTTTATTGGTTTTATCGTAGAATTTGCTGGATTCATTGTAATTACTATTATCGAATTTATCTCTATCATTCCAAAAGTCTTTGTAAACATCTTCTGTTTCGACTTCATATGTCAAACTGTCGGTGTCTGTAAATAAAAATTTTGCTTTGTCTCCATATTTTTGTTTGATGTAATTGTAATGGAAATCATACATTAATGTCTTGCTCGAGTCCAATATACACATTCCCGCATATGCTGTCTTGTTCAATGTTAGTGTTTCTTTTATCTTAAGCACAGCTAGTAGATTTTCATTAAAAATTTTTGATGAGAAATAAGTCGGTTTTGATGACATTTTTAATAGTTCATTTTACTCTTTTACGAATATTTTGCATCGTATTTCCAAAGACTGAATTATTCATCAGTTTAAAAAAGTCTTTTTCGAATGAATTTTTCGCTTGAGTTCTTATTTGTGTATTGAAGTCTATGTACTCTTTCAACCAAGGAGATTGATTGAATTTTAATACTCGATGTACTTTTTTCAGTTTTAATCCTAAAGCGAGATACAACTGTAAATTTCGATAGTGAATAACATATTTATTTTTATCACTCAAAGTTGGAATCAGTTTCTGTACTTGACCGATTGAAATGTTATATTTGTTCTTGATTTTTTGACAATATTCTGACAACATATTTTCAGTTACGGTTACTTTTTTCAGGCCCAAGAGGATAATCATTATGTAGATCATGTAGCTCTTTCGGATATCCTAAATCAACTTCCGACATTAATCCGTTTTTACTGCCGTCTTTATACTTTGCTAAGTCTGTTTTGTTAATTTCTTTTTCTGTCATCCACCTGAAACCGCCAGTTGGTAGATACTGACTCATCGCCCAACCGTAAAAATTATTAGCATCAAGATACATGATGTATTTTGAAGGTGCTTTCTTGTCGTCAGTCTTCATATACTTGTTATTAGCTTTTCCATATCGATTTACAATGTATGATATGTCGCCACGCATGCCTTTCTCAGTGAATTGAAACATGTCAATGTCAGCCATTAACTCTAATTTGATGTTGGTCATTTTTAACATAGCATCCCAAGATAATCCCGGGCTTGTGAAGTAGGGGCATGGATCTAATTTGTAGTACTCCAGACATGTTTTTCTGAAATTTTCAAATACATCTGTCAACAACAGTGTATCAGATATCAAATACAAATCGTGATACTCGCCCATGTTTTTTAACTTGAATTTTTTCCAAACATTTTGAGCATGTTCATATTCTTCATCTGTTATGTGCTCGTCATTCAGAATGCTATAAAATTGTTCTTTTGTGGGCAGCTCTGTTTGTTTGAATTTTTCAAAACTATCCATGAAATCGTAAGGATAGACACCTTTTTGAGATATTAAATCTAATTTTTTACCTCGAAATTTTTGTGATGTATATTTCAATAATTTTTTTGGAAGGTTGCCGACAAGTTTATCAAGACTTGAACTCATGAATTGGAACCTGTCAATAAACGTCAGTTGAATACCCAACATGAGAGTCATATACTTCTCCATATCATTCGGTATTGCATTTATATTCATCTTTTGCTCTTCTCCTTTCTTATTTTTGTTATTTTGTTTTTGTTATTTGACCAATCTGTACCATTATAAAATGGCTGTCATAGATTGTGGAATATAACAGGAATTTTAATATCTTCTGGCTTTATTTTGAGTTTTAAATTGCATTCTTGATGAGCTGAGCCTCTGTATTTTCCAGTAATATGGCGATGGTCTCTAACACGCATGTCTTTATCCGTGTATGTTTTATCACAAATATGACATTTATCAGTTTGTTTGAAGCACAGTTTATCTTCATCAGTCATTTTCAATGGCTTGTTGAAGTTATTTCTCATAACCTTCTTACAGTAGTTCACTTCATATAACATTTTTTCCATGAATTTATAAACAGCATTTTCACCTCACATAGCTGTGTTGGTTTTGTGTATTTATCATCATAACAGCAAACCACTTTATAACCATAACTACAGTCTTTATGATATTGCTAAGCTTCAGTGTATGATTCATCATTATTTGGTCTACAACCTTGTATTTTTTCTGTGATGGCTTCAAAATCGGCATAAATAACGAATGGTACAGGTAACTGTTTGTGGTGATTTTGGAATACAATCGTTTCACCTTTTTCAGGCATTTTAATAGCTTGTTCACCATTTATGACCATGCAGTCGGTTTTGTGTTTGTTAAGAATTTTTTCTGAGCTGAAACATTGCAAACAATGCATACAAAAATGTTTTCTCTCTTTATGATTCGTTTGATGGTACATGGATTTATGAAAGTCTTTAATCAAAATATAATGTTTCTTTCCACCCTCTGTTATCAACAAAAGATTCATTTGATCATCAAACTTTTCTTTTGAAACGTAAATAGGAAATGGTTGTTTATCTTCATAACCGAATACGTTTATGTTGATGCTATTTTGCTTTTCTATTTTATTATACTGTTTAACATCAACTGGAAATTCAATATTGGAATAATCTAATTCATTTACAAACATCTTATCCACTTTTTTAATCCTCTCTGGATGTACTGATTGTGGGTTCAAATGCCTTATATGACACCGACGAAAACATTCATCATCTTTGTTTTTCATATTAATCAAACCTTTTTCTGAGTTTTGTAGTTCTTTTGGTAGTTGTATGTAAGATGATCCTTTCAAGGGACTGTAACTTACCACATTAATGTAATGATTGTCTATTTTGTCAACAGTCCAACCTGAGCCTTCTGATGGCCAAGTTGCAATTTTATTCAAATTCTCTTCTTCTGAGGTTTTGAATTCTTGATGCAGTTCATTAACATTTGTAACGGTTTTAGCTTTGCTGTTGAAATAAGCGGTTTTGTATGTTATTTCATCATTAGTCACTTTTTTGAAATTTATCTTCAGTGTTTCATTGAATTTTAATCCTTTCGAAGCTTTGAAATGGTGTTCTATCGCTTTTCTCGTGTTTTGTAATTGAAGCAATAGATCTTTGTTATGTCTTAAGTCTACTTCAAATGATGCTGCATGACCCTTTAGAGCTTGATCCAGTTTTGTTATTTAGTCCTTAGAGCCGCAGCAGGTGGTTTTATTGTTCTCGGTTCAGCTACTGGTCTATAGCCATCTTGGAATTGCAGAGGAGGAGCAATGATATTTTCCTCATACTCTTTTACCATCTGTTTAACGCTCTTGCGTGGTTTAAGAATTGGTTTCACCATCCTTGGTGCAGGAACTGGCTTATTCATTTGAGATACTTGTTGCGCATCCTGCTTTAGTAACAACTTTATCAGTTGTGATTGTTTGAGTTTCTTGAGATCTGATTTTTTCAAAACTCTAATATTTTTTTTTCGTATCCAAATATATAGTTTAGATACTTTTTCACTTTTAAGTATTTTCGTTTATTTTTGGATGCAAGCATTCAAAAATTCCAATCAAATAGATTGTTTGAACTATAAAAAATGATTATAGTACTTCATCATCTCTGTAATAAGAGTTTGATAAATTCTTCTTTATTTAGTTTATCGAGTTCTGTTTTATTCATGCCATTTACATTTCTTTGGTGTGTTTTTGCGTTCAAATGTTTTGTTTTCCCACACATTTTATAATTTTTATTATTCTTACATATATCACAATACCAATTAGTATTCATACCATACTTTGCTTTTGCACGGTTTATTCCTTTTTTTCTTTCTTCTTCAGTAAAATATAACTTGGGTCTTCCAATTTTATTATTTTTTATACTATCCATATTATCACATTATATCATAATTCTTTATTTCTTATATATTTTTTAATAATAGCCAGAAACAATAATATTTTTGGCTAAATATATAGCAAAAACCAGATGTGGTAAAAACACATCTACCACATATAGTCACATATAGGTTATATTATTTTACACACATCAATATACATTACTCAATTAATGTCTATATATTTTTCAAATCTGTCAAAGGTATCCAACTGTTGGAGTCATCATTGTATCCCTTCCACTTAACGAAAGCTTGCTTTTCCTTATGATCTTTCCTGATGATTTTTTCAATTCTGAATATATCCTGTCTGGCTTTTAACAACTCAGGTTCATAAAAACTGCCTTGTATCTCTTCATTATTGAGATCTTTTAATTTGTAAGTGACTGGATTCGTATATTGGATCTTATCAATTGTAAATACTTCTTCAGTCCAATTTGGGGTATATCCGTTGTCAAACACTTTTCTCTTGTACTTACTTATTCTGACTTTATCACCAACTTTGAACTTTGGTTTTGATGATGATTGTTCCATATCACCATAGAGAAAATACACAATTCCTGCATTCTTCTTTTGACTAGCTTCTGTAGGTGTCATTTTTATTGAACTGTGTTTAGTGTTAATATACTGTTTTAATATTTTGGGTAAAATGTCTAAATACTGTGTATTACCTTGAACAGTAAACTGCTTCCACATCTTAGTTTTTATTGTTTTATTCCATCTTTCACAAACAGATGATTTTTCTTCATTCTCAGTGGAATACAGTGTTATATTATGCTTTTGAAATAAGTCTTTCAAATGTTTGTTATAATATTCTTTACCCTTATCAGTCCATAGATATTGCGATTTTCTGCCTTCTTTGAATATTTGTTGAAAAGCTTTTGCCACAGTTTCACCTTTTTTATCCTTTAATGGAACAATCCAACCATATTTACTGAACACGTCTAAAACCATCAGAAGATATCTATAGCCTTTATTCCATTTACTGAATTGTTGCATTTAAACTAAATCAGAACACCATATTTCATCAATATATAGAGGATATTACACGGTGGCGAGAAGATATGAATTTTATGTTCTCGTGGCAAGAACAATATCTCACGAGTGAGCGAAGCTCACTCGTGAG